TTTAAAACACAACGGTCGCTGCACCACCGGTGACGGAGAAAAAAAAGGCAATAAAAGAAGCTCCGCTCGCTCCCGTCCGGTCCCGTCCGGTCCTGTCCGAGATTCTCTCTAGCTCGTAGTTATGTTAGTCCTTTACTTAAACTGGGTAATGTCATAAACAGGCATGTTATTTAGCCAGATATGACAACATTAAATTGACGATACATGTACATAATAATCCGCTACCGGTAGGTAAACATCACATACATGCAACGGTTACGGCGGGACATGTCCGGTTCGCTAGTCATTAGTAAAATGTCCCTGTGCAACATGTTGTTTAGTTAAAATATATCTATACATCTAATATGACAGTTTATAAGCATTGACAACATAGTTAAAGGATAATGTACTTACTTTCGTGATGTTGGGAANTAGTTTGTGCATAAAAAACAAATAAACACATGTTTACTCTAACTTTTATTTGTATATTTCAGTTACATAGCAACGATTGTTGAGTGTGAGACGTAACCGAAATATACAAATAAAAGTTAGAGTATTGCATTTGATGTCTATGTTTAAAGGGAATTCTGAAAAACATAACCAATGTACTGAAGCAGTTTGTGTTATTTCAATATTAGCCGGAATTTATGGAGACAACATGTAAATATTGAGAAGGTTAACCATGGAAAAAGGGAATTGGAGATTAAATCTGTTCCATAATGACAGGGTCTGGTTCTATGCAATTAAGGTAAGCTTAGGATGTATGGTGAGTCAGGAATATACACATATTAGAGCTGCATATGGTTTGGGATTTAACTTCTCAAACGCATCAGTATTTCATGTTAAACACAAGTAACCCAAAGGGGAAATGCCGGAAGGAACACAAGTAACTGCCTGCTACCAAATCCAATATGTGCAATACAATATAGGCGTAGTAAAGATTTGTGGATGCTATTATCAATACTATAGTAACAGGCTAAAAGACAACAAAAAAAGGCTGAAACGAGCATTTTCTGACAATCTGACGTTGGCATTAAAAACTACTACTACTACTACAATAACTCCATTATAATAATGAAAATCAAATGGTTGGCGATTATCTTTTTCTCGATCAAGCAATGGGCTAATCGTTGCAGCTCATAGATAGAACAGTGCAAATATAAAATAGAAATACACACTGTTTCTCATGCACAATTTTTCTGAGCGTATATATATATTGTGTATAGCTACACGCTAAGAAGCTCAGTTACAGTGGATACACAGTAGATGTTGCTTACTGTGCACAGCAGCAGCAGCGTTTATTTTCATGAGCTTCGATTAACGCTAATATAATCCTGACGCGTACAGATCGAGGGTAGCATCCCCACACACACAAAGATACTTTAACAGTATGTCTAGTCATTAATCATGTCAGAGGGCTTGCCCAGATCCATTTATCTATCCCCTCACCCCTTCTCTTGCATACACACACTGTGACAAATTGCTGACATGGTAGAATATTCCTTCGTCTGGAGATGAGATTCCTGTGAGTCCACCCCCCTAACCTGATTTCATCCCTCCACCTCTCTTTTTCTACCTCTCTCAGGTCACACTCTTTGCATGCAGTGCACACACACCCACCCACACACACACACACACTCATTTCCCACGAAGCCCCGCAGCTCCTATGATACGTCATCGTCACTCTGGGCGACAAAGGGGAAATAAAGAGGCCGGGCTTTCCTTCCGACCCCGTCCCCAATACAATGGACACACATACAAACACACACTGTTTGGGGAAGTGCGGAAAAAGCTCTCACATGGGTTTATGCAAACTGTTGTATGNTTTTTCTACCTCTCTCAGGTCACACTCTTTGCATGCAGTGCACACACACCCACCCACCCACACACACACACACACACACACACACACACACACACACACAGA